CATTTGAAGAAAAGTACCATTCAGTTCTTGTGTAATTATATATTTTATTGCCAAAGTAGGAATTTTATAGCCATAGTTTCATGTACAATGTATATATTTTAAAAAAGAAAAGAAAAAAGAAGCATTTCAATGCAATACCTTCAAATTGTTCTTGGTGGACCAATTTCAGAACCAGTCCAACCCTGTTTGTTTCTTTATTTGTATGTTCTACCTTATCCTTCACTTTTGACAATGCTGCCTGTACACGAGATAATATCAATTCTTTTACATTTAGTCTATGTTGACCATATCCTTGACCTCCATGCTTATATACACTCTTTAATTCTAAACGTGCATCGTCTAATTGTAGTGGAACATTTTCCTTTTTATTTTCAAAGCCCAAGTCATTTGTGTACATTAAGTTTTTATCCATTCCCTGTCTAAGCTTAAGTGAAGTATTTGTACCTTCTGCCCCAGTCCATTTTATTTCGTTTTCTGTCTGAGCGCTGAAATTATTTCTAAAAGTTTATTTACTACAAACGATCAAACACTTATAGATCTTAGTGAAACCTAATGCTTACCAAATAGTGGAACCTGATAAATGCTCTCCATAACAAGTGCTTTATTGAAAAGTAGAAGTAATCTATAAAGAGCGAGTGGTCTGTAAAGAAGGCATGGTTTGTACAGCAGGTGTGGTCTTTAAAGTTTGAATGGTCTGTTAGGTTAAAGTATTTTAAAAGGAGTGGTCTGTAGAGTCAGAGTGATCTAAATAGTACGAGTTGTCTGTTAAGTAAGTTAGGCATGGCCTATAAACTCTAAGTAGTCTGAAACATAAAAATGGGCTGAGAAGTAGGAGTGTGAAGTAACACAGAAGTTGTCCATTTCTTGAAAAAGGTATCAAGAATGATGCAATTCAATTGTAATCCCTGTTCAAAGAAGGATGCACAAAAATAACAAGAACATTAGTATGTAATATAGTGCTCTTTATCGCAATTTAGACATGTACATAATAAAAAGAAATTTGATATTGACTATTATGTAAACAATTTCATACATTTCTCTAGAAACATCCTCATCAATCTCCATTGCAGAGTTTGTGAAGAGTTTTGATATAGATTTTCCTTGCATGTCTTTTAGTGTAGGCATGTTCATATCTTCTTGATACAGGTCTTCTATGTGAGCTGAGTGCCAAAGACCACACTGAAACATTATCATAAGAGATATAATTTATATTACTGTACATGCATGTCTGTCAATCACAACCGACTATACATAAAAAGGATTCACAAAAATACAAATATAAATCATTGGAAAAGTTTAAATATCACTCGCAATGGCTTTTATTATTCTTATATGTATTGTTAAAGTAACAAAAATACCTGAAATCCTGTGAATGAGGCCCCACGAGGCAGTTGTACAATAAATACAACATAGATAGGAGCTCTTAGTTCTTCGCACATCTTTTCAAATTCATCCATGACGCAGTAACGAGCACATGCAATCAGATTGGCGTTCACATCATCCGAGTCACACTGTATCACCATTAGGCTTGGATCTTTTACTGTACTTTGAATGTGCTGTCTTTAATATCAAATGTCATTCTTAGTTACAATGTGAATTTAGGTAATAACCGTCATCACTTATTACTAACTGAATTATTAGAAAAATGTATAAAAAGGGCAATGACATAAATGCAATGGGCCGTATAATATTATCTATGTTAAAAACCTTTAATGAACATGTCCATCTTCCCATCAGGACAAAACTATTGATCATTGTAAGAAAAATTCCAAAATATTTACTGAAAGAAAAGCGAACAGAAAAGACCAAATTGCAATTCTTGAGAAGATATCATAAACAAAGTGCAATTCTTTAATAGAAATAAACTAATGTACAAGCACACTCTTCCAATATAATTTTATTGTCCGTCTTGCAAAAATAAAATTGAAAACTTTAAATATTAATTAACTAATGAATTAATTAACCTTACATAATCATGTTTCTCAATTGTTGTTCAGTATCAATAGGTGGTAAAGTTTTTAGCAGGAGTATTTTGTCAACATCTATTCCAGTGGCTTTACCAATTTCTCCTTTGTGAACACATGTCAACAGTTTATAATGGGTTGTTATCTGCGGAATCAATTATAACATTGACTTAAGATTGGAGCAAATGTGCAACATAAGTATAATATATATGTATTATCTTTAGATGTACTTGATGCTCTTTATTGGAGTGATAATCATTTTTTTTATTTATTTCTAAGAGACATTTCGTACTTTATTATTCAAATCGTAAAGATCAATTAACTGTACTCAATGATTATAAAGGGAAGGCTATAGTAATCAATATATAAACAGAAATGTTATACACATAACAGTTAAAGGCATCATAAAACTAAAATGTATATGTACCTCTGAAACAGGTTATCAATTGTTTTAGGTGTTGTTTTAACGATTGATTTACAATATGGTAGATGCTTTGCATGTGAAAAAAACAGTGATGAATGTGAAATAATATTGTTATAAAAGTATCCATGAGGTATTTTGTCTTCAATACAAAACTTAAACTTAAATCTTTACTCTAACTTTTACTAACTTTAAAGGCAAAAAGCAATAAAAAAATTCAGATATATGGCAAACGAAAGCAAACTGAGATAAATATGATACACATAACATTCCAGGGTTTCATAAGCATTTAAAAAAACTGGAGTCACATGAAACTGTAGCTTGCTTATTTATTAAACAAAAAAAAAACGTATTTTTATAAAGATCAAAATTCTAAGATTTATGAAAAGAATTTACCTGTGCAAATAATTGCCTACATTTCTGTTCAACTATTTTGACATTCAGATATTGTAGAAGGTTGTCATGTGACTGTTTGTTGAAGTACCATCCTTTCAATAACTCCTTTTCCCTGTTTGACAAGCTACTGTGTTCCAGTCTGATCAGGGATTCTGGTATAGCACACCATAGCAACACTGCCTTAGATTCTTGTAAAACCTTCAATTAATTATTCATATATAACATATGCTAAACAAGTAAAACATTTTACATTTTTTAAGATGATTTATTCTACATCAAAAATTACCTTTAACTGATTCATAATGTTGTTTTTAATAAATCAATTTTAGGGACCAATGTCATATTTCAGCATTTCAAATGAATGAAAATGTGCCGATTTGTTTAATGTTGAGATACAAAGGCCATGTTAAAAAAACTGATTCACAATGAAAGTATTCTTACTTCATAAAAGTTTGGTATTTGCTGTATTAAACTTTGAAATACAGTTACAGTTATTTTTCTTTAATACAATCTTTTAAATAACCTTTTCCTGAAAAAAATATTTAAAATCATAACAACATTTATGGTGTGAATCATAATGTCTTTCTAATGTGCTCAAATTGACTCATAAATATAAATCATTCTTGCTATAGAACATAAGCTCGAATTATTAAAAAAAAATTCTCCGAAAAGCATACATTTCTCTTGCTAGAGGTCACAGCCTTTAGACAAACTCCTAGTTATTGATTTTTTTATGAAAAACTGCTTAACATGTACACATGTTTAAAAACATTCCAAAATGAGTTGTTTCCTTTTCATAACTAAACTCATGAGCTGGACTATTTTATAGCAAAGGGATGATTTGAAGAAAAGCAACTTTTGACCCAAAGCTATAATTTGAATAATGTAAATAGAAGTTCTCTTGGCAATGTTACATTCTAAATATCTGAGGTCTGGCCCTTGTAGTTTTGAAGGAGAATATATTTATTTTTTTATATATACTATATACATATATAGAAAACACATTACCCCTGGGGCGGGACAAAATTTGACCCGAGGGCTATAATTTGAACAATCGTGGTAGAGTTTACCAGTCAATGCCTTGTGCAAAATATGCATTTTTACCTCTAGAGGAGAAAGTTTTTACACAATTGTTGCTATTAATTTGTTTAGTTGCCTGGACAACCAGATTCCTGTATGGAATCAAATTTCTTTCAACACTTTGGAAGCCGTTCACCTAACTAAAAATCTTTGCAAGTTTGGTTGAAATCGGACTTGTAGTGTTCAAGATGATGATTTTTTAAGAATACTAAATAATCTATATAGCGCACACGCACGCACGCACGCACACACACACACACACGCACGCACGCACACATTATTATATGCCATTGCATGAAAAATGTTAAGATTTTCAACATTGATTCAAATAAAATTACATTTATATTAGTAACATCTTCATTTAACCACCAAAAGCAATATTTGTCAGGTTCTGTGACTTGAACATCATTAAACGATAGTTTGAGGTGTTAGGTTTGACTCAAAACGCAAAAGTGATTAAAGCGTTTAAAGACATCATTTAATTGTACCTGTCTATCCCTGTCTTTCTCATCCTCTATATCTGTCTGTTTGTTCCAAACATCTAGAACAATGGCTGAACATGTATCATCATGGTAACCAATAAAAACATCACCTACTTTTGTGACTGTTGTTTGACCTCTGTAATAAAATATACCTAAAATGTACCGGTGTTTACAAGTTTGTCAAAGTATGTTCTATTTTTATAGCCAAGATTCTCACCTGCTTCAGGAATTAAATTATCAATACAATAATAGTTGAGACCAGATTAAATCATCGCCTAGAAGAATGTAAGAAGTTTGGCTTAAAACGAAAGCTATCGGTAGAACAGCTTGCTCGCCTATTGTCAGTGAGTGATAGAAAAAAGAAGAATAAATTCAAAAAGAGCCACAATTCTGTAATAAAAACTGTGTAAGTGTTATGGGCCTTGGAGCTCCGATTTAACTCTAAAATAAGTGTGTACAATTTCAACTTATATTGGAGATACCAACTTGCACCGAAGTGTGACGCCAACCAAAGGCTTAAGTGACCCCAAGTCCTCAAACAGTCAAGCTAAAAAGTATATTTTTCCTCGGGAAAAGCTGGATTTATAAGTCGTCGGTGTGTTCTATTGAGTACCTGCTCAGTCTTAGTTTAGGAATGAACAAGCTTGTAATATGTTTATATATGTTTATCTTGCCTAACAATTTAATCTTTTTACATTTTTTCATTTTTCCTATGTTGTACAGTCCCATCTCCAGAAAGCATGTCCAGAAATATTCATTTAATGGCATAATATTCTGATATATCATGGAAAACTCAAGATATGCACTACTGTGTATGCTAGGTTAATAAATATTTTACCTCCCCAAACTTACCTATGTGTATAACTAAAATTTCTTTGTTTAACAAACTGCTCCGCCCATTTTTCCAACATCACTACAATTTGTTGTTGTTCTGGTGATAACATAGTGTTGATGGTAAATAAATGTTTCTCTAGAAAGTTGATAAGAGGTATAGGAAACTTCTTGTACACTGTCTGCTTCTCTGTTACCACTATCAGTCTGAAAAACAAGAATTACGTTACATTTGGATAAGGGGAATTAGGGTTTTGCTGACATGCTATTGGGCGTGAATAAGACATAGTTGCAGTGTTAACTTTATATGTACGCGTTATAAACTCCATCATAGACGTTTTGTTCATTTGTTGCGCAGTTTCTGAAGATACTATATTTCTAACAATATTTCAAGCGTGTAAAATTATGTGCACGTTCAAACTCTTTCAATTCTTAGGGTTCACTTATGCATTTCAAAATATATCAAATACTTAAAATAGACCATTGACCTAATATTAATTTTAGATATTATAGATATTTCTTTTCAATTTAATGGGTATGTGATATTTAGATTCATCACATTAACTTTATAACCAAGTTCACAAAATGACCAGTATGAAATATCAGGTTTGATAAAATAGTGATATAATTACTCATCTATCAATAAATATTCATACTTAGACCTCCTCAATTCTCGACCCCTTATGATCTTAAGATTACTTCTGGACCCCTATACTCTAAGACCTCATTTAACATGACTTTTCGATCCCTAGTGGGTAAGACATTTCAACCCCTTTATCATTTTTTTTTTTTTAATTTGTAACTTTATTTTCTGATTTTACATACAAACATTATAACATATCTTGAAATTCACAAAGACATACAATAGTATATAAATGCATATAAATTCACAAGGACATTACATAATTATAGTATTTTCTAAATGTATATGAACAAACATTAGACATTTTCGGATACTTCTTTATAATTTACAGTTAACATTTGACCTATTCTCTATTTTACTATGAATGAATATAGCAATGTTTTTTTTGAGCTCGTAAAATCAAACATGAACATTGATTTTCTTACAAACAAACTATTCTCTGAAATTGTTACAGTCTAAGTCTAAGTTCGATTGAATATTCAATATCACATTTTCTGAGTATATAGGAAATTTAACATGTTCTGAGACCTTGTTACAAATTTATCATTTTTTGTACGTAAGAAGGCCAATAAGATACTTCGAGAAATAATTTGAAGCGAATAGCAAATATTTTAAATATTTTCTTAGCATGATCAGACGAGATATTGAAAAGGTAAAAAAACACAACATTTATTGCTTAACGTGAAATGCATGTATGTTATATTATTCTATGAAAATTTATACATTTCTACCTAATTAATAATGTTATATGTTGAATTGGTGTCATAGGGTAGTAATCATTGATAAATAAAATATGAATAAATACTGGTTGTTGTCTTCAATCTTCAATCCTTAAAAACAAATTGGGTATCGCATTAAGTCAAACATATTTTTCTTCTCTACGTCAGTCATTCAATAACTTAAAGTCCCGTTATCCTGTTATTATATTCCTATAAAAACACGTACTAACCGTTTATAAGTGTTTATGCAAAGTGATATTTACTGGTACGGTAATGCATCATTGCATTACGTCACTGTTTCAACTTTGTGTAGACGTTTATCTATATTATATAGAATAAATCATCTATGATAATATTATATTGTTTTCAGGTTAGTGATGTTATATTTTCCTAGCCTAATTGTTTTGTAAAATATTGTTATTAATAAAATGGTAATTAATCTTTGGAAATAAGTAGAATACAGTACCCTAAATACTGATAGACCTGTACTGTGTACATGTATGTGTTTTCTTGTTATTTATTTTAGGAAAACAGGAATGCATCATTGCATTCCGTTACAGTTTTCACTTTGTATAGACGTTTATCTTTATTATATATAATAAATTATCTATGATAATATTATATTGTTTTCAGTTTTCTTCACCAATTTTAACCCAAAGATCTACCAAATATTTGTACGAAGGGCCTGAGCTAGTTAATGACCAGCAAAGCAGCCCTACGTCATTGACTTGATTTGTTTGTATTTGGAAGTTGCGATAACTTCATTTTATGGCATTTTTACATAATGAAAGTGAAACGTTAACCCTAGTAGCGAAGTGGTTTGAGGGTTCAGGTTATGAAGCGCCCAGGTTTTGAAAATGTTTTACAAGTTCAAATCTGCGATTGTGCACTTTTTAGTGTGCTTTTAACTTTCAGTATAACAAATTTTCAAGCTTGTCACATTAGTTTTTATTATGCTCCCCGAATAATTTCTGGGGAGCATATAGTCGGCGCCTTGTCCGTCTGTCCGTCCGTTGTCTTGTCCGGAGCATAACCTGAAAATCCTTGGAGATAATTTAGTTAAACTTCATACAGTGGTATAGGGCATTGAGGGGGAGTGCATTGTCAAAGAACCATAACTCTATTTTAACCAGTTTTTGAATTATCTCCCCTTATAGAAAAATCTTGTCCGGGACATAACTCTAAAACTGTAAGAGATATCAACATGCAACTTTGTAGGTGAATAGATCTCAATGGGTAGATGTGCAGTGCATACGAATAATAACTCTTTTTTTCCTAATTTTGGAGTTATTGCCCTTTGTTAATTTTAACACTTTGAACTTTGTCCGGATCATAACTCTAAAACTATGAGAGATATCAAGATGAAACATTGTAGGTAGATAGATCTTATTAAGTGAAAGTGCAGTACAAAAGAACCATAACTCTGTTAAGCCTCATTTTTTTAATTATCTCCCCTTTTAGAAAAATCTTGTCCAGGACATAGCTGTAAAACTGTAAGAGATATCATCATGAAACTTTGTAGGTAGATATATCTCAATAGGTAGATGTGCAGTGCACAAGAATCATAACTCTGCCTTGCCTAATTCTGGAGTTTTTGCCCTTTGTTAATTTTTACTTTTTGAAGTTGTCCGGGACATAACTGGTAAACCATAAGAGATATCAACAAGAAACTTTGTAGGTTAATAGATCGCATTGATTAGAAGTGCAGTGCAGTCTTGCCTAATTTTGGAATTATTGCACTTTGAATTTTTTTCCAGGGACATAACTCTGAAACTACAAGAGGTGTACTTTTCGGGGAGCATCACCCGGCTCAAACCGGGCTCTTGTTTTCTCTTTTATGAACGACCTTGTAGTTAGATTTATGTTTTGCACAATTGAAAGTTAAACTTATAACGATTAAGCAATATTGAATGCATGAAGAAATATTTACCAACGTTGGTTCAATCTTATAATTCAATAAACCAAAAATCTGGAGAAAGTGAAGCTCCCTCGGAAGCTACAGTATGTATAATCACAACAAAATGACATGAAAATTGAAGACTCCGTTTGATTGAGTCTGTACTTGAGCGATAATAAAAACGTGCAACATCCCTCACGTCCCCTAGAACCGTCTTTAGCGGTACTCAAATTTTCAACACTTAAAAGTGCTGGAATCAATATTCCTGAAGGACCAGAACATTATAACAACACTGAAGTGAACATAAAAAAATCAACAATTAAAAATTCATACTGGTGAAAATATGAAAATGAAGTTAGGATTCAACACATCCTGCTAGAAAAAATAAACTATAGAAAATTCTTGGCAATTAAGTGGTGACAATTCACACGGGAGAAAATACTTGAAGATTTAGGTGGAAATTAAGTAATTATTGGCAATTAAGTGGTGACAATTCACACGGGAGAAAATACTTGAAGATTTAGGTGGAAATTAAGTATTGATAATTCATATTGGAGAAAATACTGCGGAATAAAAGTGGAAATTAATGTGGAATATAGTGTAATGTTATTTACATAAGATTATTTTTACCTCTGTATGTTCAACATTTTGTTTTGCTTTATATTGAAGAGACACTATTTTTTAAGAGGGAGAACAGAAGTAACAGTTGATACATAATGTAGTGTAACTGCTGATGTGCCCGAAAACATAATGTATTCCATGAATGGTACATTAATGCTTATGTCATTATGTTACATAAGTATAAAAGTAAACACTCAGTATGTTATATCTTAATGAAGATGTTTAATGTTAAATGACGAGACCTCTGATCCCCTTTCGAAATTCCATTTTATTTAGTTCCGGCCATTGTTTTCTCGTTTAGAGCAAAAGCATTTTTACTTGGGGACCATATGCCGCTTTTCATGGAATGGCACTTACGTGTCACATTGAAGGTTCCCTGATAACCGCCATATGAACACATCTGCGGATGTTTCAAAATTCCAAAATTGTACCAGTTCATGTTGAATATTGAATTCTGCTTAAGGTGGTGCTAGGGGCGTGGACGGTAGTGTGCAATTGACAGTACCGTCCATGAACAAGATCAATCAAACCAAGCCTGCAACATTTTCAATTTTGCCGTGTTGGGCTTTCTTTTGGAATTCTTATTTTCTCTATTTGACTTCAACGAGAATGTTTGCTGCTTATCTGTATTTTTGAGATTGTGTAATAAAATTTTACCACAAACTACCCTGCGTTAAATAACACCATGTGTTAGACAAATATCACAATAATCAATTATCTGTGCATACAGTGTACGTATTGACCATTAAAATTGTTGTCGTGAAAACGAGTTGTAATCTTTGGCGCTTTAACAGTTTTCGGATATCAGGTTTATTTTCGGACGTAAAATGATGGGGTCTGGTCGCTACAGTATGCTTTAATTCCAGGCTACATATCGAAGTCTTCACGTACCTGAATAGTTCTAGGGACATTTGCATCAATTCATTAAGTGAATATTTGTAAATATTTAAATTTATAGTATCGTACCTGGTTACTTCTGAAAGATGTTTAGTACTTTTATTACCATCATTTCTTGTAGATTGTGACATAACTGAAGCCTACAATAGAAAGTTTATACCTGAACATGATACAAAATTTTGTAAAGAAATATTTTCTCAAACAAGATTATAAAGTGAAAGACGTAACAATATTTTTTTCAATTGACAAGAGTTTTGAGCTAAATGTTAGTTTTGTTAACAAATTTATATAATAATATAACATGCGAGTAGTTGAACTGCATGTGGTAAAATAAACGCGAACAACTGGTTGATAAAAAATTTTTTAAAAAAAGAAGTAGTATTTTACTGTTATTATATTTCATTCTAAAACTCAAAAAATGTCATTCCAAAATGTAATTAAAACATGTGACCTATGGATTATATAAAAAGTTAAATAACGAAATGAAGAAAACATATTATAAAGGAAAAAGGAAATCGAGGATACGTCGCATACAAATCCACGAAATGGCCTTACTTGGAACGATCTAGCATCAGTTATTATTTGGTCTGGTAGTGAGTTTTTCTTCAAAGCTGCAGTTTGGTTTGTCAGCATAAGCAATTCTTGCTTTAGTTTCTTCACTTCAGACGCTGTATTCTTCATTGCAATTAAAAGTTTGCATCTTTGATTTATTTCCATTTTCTGGTATAAATCGCAAGAAGTGCCCTTTACTTTATCCAACAGTGATGCATTTCTTGCCAATAAAGATCGATGTGCTCTAACATCTTCTTCAGCCGATTTTCTTAATTCCTCGAGTTTTTTATTTTCTGTGCAAGACAGTTTCATATCAAGGTCATTTTGCTCCTTTCTCAAACGAGTAACAGTCCTTTGCTTTTCTTCTTCTATAACTGATGATATGTCCTTAAGGTACTTATCGAATGTTGCAGTACATTTTTGTTGTTCTTCTTCAAAATGTGACTTCCTACTTTGACCGGATTGCTCAATGGATTTTTGAGCTAGTTTTTCTTTCGTTTCGACATCTTTGACACCATCCTCAAGTGTATTTTGAACCTTTTTCAGCGAATTAGAAATAAGGTCTATATCTTTAAGAACCGCTTTCAGTTCGTTACTTTCTTCTATTCTAGTAGCCATGGTTGAAACATGGTTGAAGTTATCGCATGTTGTATGATTTGTTTTCCTGCAATCCGAGCAGGCAAACAGTTCACATTTGGGGCAGTAAAACCTGATGTGCTTTTGATGAATGGGGCATTGCTCAAAACAAAACTCTTGGGGCATAGCTGCCCTATCAAGTAAGTTATGTTGTGGATTTTGTCGTTTGTGATATTTTACGCATGACGTGCACATATACTCCAAACACTCATTACAAAACCCTTCCGCATCTGCCGTTTCACCGAAATCGAAGCATTGTTCGCAGTGCATTTCGCGACATTCATCTGAATCATGTACACTGTCATTTCCAACAATAGATGCCATTTTCTTACTTACTGAAATTAGTTGAAATTTTAGAAAGATATATTATAACTAACATAACGTTTATTGATTCTTCAGTACGTAGGTAAAAAAATTAATATAAAAGCATATAAAGATATTGACACTGTTCATTAATACTTCATGTAAACGTATGTTTTTAGAAATTAAATACAATTACTATGTTGACTGTGTTAACTATTAAGCTAGACTTTAGCAAGAAGTTAGAAGAAATATACGATAACAAAAATAAAAGTATAAAACAGTACTATGATTTACTTGAACGTATGCGGTTTAACAAACTAATTTAGATGTGTTACTTTATCGAGTTTATACATTATGATCAAAACGTTGTTTTATGCTTTGAAAAAAAAAACCTTAGGTGTTTGGGTTGTAATAAGTAATTTAATTTAATCCAATGGTACTGATATCTATATGTTGGCTGTAATTTGAAGAACAAAGAGTGATTGTTCGAACACTGTGGTTTTGGTTTGTACTTTATAAAACATAATTATTTTGAATTTTAAGAATGTTTTTACGTACATGTATTTGTAATTTATCAATTGTGTACACTGATAAGAATTTGATAAACTTTAACTTAAGTTTTTTTCTGAATTTAATTTGAAACAAGAAATATCTTTTAAAAGGATATACTCAGTCCAAGTTAACCTGGTTTACTAGCAATATATAATCATATAATATACTGGACACATATTAAACAATATAAACTGAGAGTACCCGATAGATGTGCTTTTCGATATTTACATGGGATCGTGAACACTAATATAAGGGTCTCGATATTTTGGACAAAATTTCAAACTAAGTAAGTATTAATTTTGTGTCAAATAAACTTAGTAAGATCTTATGTAAAAAAGTAAACTGTATACTAGAAAATAAAATGAGATCTTAAGGCAATGCGAAATGTTTTGTTGGAGGCAGTATGTTTAAACAGAACTTAAATATCTTAGTATAAATAGTTAAAGAACTATCCTTTACATGTATAATTTTAGAACTACCCTTTACATTTTATTTTATATTGGCAAGAACTATGCATTTAATTTTAGAATGCCCAATGAGATTGCAAGATTTCAGTTTCAAATTTTAAAATGACCAATTCAAATTCTTCTTTTATTCAGTTCTTTCGTGTAAATTTTACAGGAAATCAAACTGATTTTAGATGGCCTTCAGCCAAAAAACTTAAAACATCAGTAGTGTGCTTTCACACGTGACGTTAAAAAACTTCTGAAAAATTTAGGCAAACATTAGATTGAATAAATACAAGGGATTTTTAATCAGGCTCTCTAAGCAGAACATGTTTAAAATTGGTGGGGTATAGTAAAAGATTTATACATATTTCAAACATTTGAAGAAGAAATACTCATTTTGGTTGGGTCGTTAGTTAACTGAATGTTATTATTTGATTCTTAACAATTATAAATAGGAAAACGTTTTTCATAAGGGTGATATCAATGATATCCCTTATTTCTTAAAAGTCCTTCTAATGCCGAAACTTTTTCAGAAAAGTGTCCATAGCACTTAAATCGTAAAGTAAATTTTGAATAAATTTTGCATGCAGATGTTCTATAAGGCATATAACTGACCCATGTGTTAATTTTTTTTCAGTTCCTTATATTTCCTTATGTCCAATTAGGGTGGTTATACCGTAAATGACTATAAAATCCAATAAAATAATGTAAACTTTAATTAAGCACACTTGTTTCAGTGACTTATAAGTTATAATACAGATATAAAATAGAGAAATACAGAATCCCTAAAGAAAGCCCAACACGACAAAATTGAAAATGTTGCAGGCTCAGTTTGATTGAGCCTGTTCATGGACGGTACTGGAAAGTGCAAGTTACCGTCCACGCCCCCTAGCACCGGCTTAAGCAGAGTTCAACATTTAAACACGAAAATTGGTGAAATTTTGAATTAAGAGACATCCGCAGATGTGTTCATACGGCGATTATCGTGGAACCTTCAATGTGACACAGTAGTGCCATTCCATAAAAAGCGGCGTATGGTCCCCAAGTAAAAGAATGCGTGTGCCCTAAACGAGCAAGCAATGGGCGGAACTAAATAAAATGGAATTTTGAAAGGGGATCTGAGGTTATGAAGCCTGAGTATCACAGACATGACGTCAAAAGACAAATATAAAAAGCAGGCAACATATCCTAAGGGTGATTATACAGTATTCAAGTAGGAATATTGGAACCACCCAAGTTGAAAAAGGCTAAATAGAAGAAACTAAAAGTACCACATAACAGGTATACACAACAATAATGTCGTGTTGAACGATCTTCAAGGATCGAAAATATAACATCAGTGATTAAATGTACGGGGAGACTTTTTACAGCCGCCACACGGCACGAATAACACGGATGTGACAATAAAATAGAGAAATACAGAATCCCTAAAGAAAGCCCAACAAGACAAAATTGAAAATGTTACAGGCTCGGTTTGATTGAGCCTGTTCATGGACGGTACTGGAAAGTGCAAGTTACCGTCCACGCCCCCTAGCACCGGCTTAAGCAAAAAAGAAAAAAGAGACATCCGCAGATGTGTTCATACGGCGATAATCATGGAACCTTCAATGTGACACAGTAGTGCCATTCCATGAAAAGCGGCGTATGGTCCGTATAAAGCTCCATGCACATGTGAATAAAATCGTAATCAATACTGGAATGTATCTTTGTTTTATTTAACCTGAATAAAATACACATTTCTATCCGCCTGACGTCTGACATAGTTGTAGAAGTTGGGAGGTACATGGTATGCACGCAAAAGGTGTCTCATAAGTCAGAAATGGATGGCCCTTTCAGTAGGGGTGACACTGTAATAAAAAAGACCTTTACCTTTACCTTTTACATTTTTTTTTTGTGATAGTTATAGTACATGAAACGAGTCAGTTTCGAGGATATAACACTGGCTGGGGCGACATCAAGGGGTGTTTCTGCTAGGCCGAGACAATTTTTTTTTCAGAAACATCCCGAGATGTCGCCACAGCCAGTGTTATACTACCGTAACTAACGAGTTTCGTATACTATAACTGTTTTATCGCAATGACATAATGTTTTCTTTTTTGTAATAGAAATAAATAAATAAAATCGTTAGCTACATTACAGTTATTTGTGATAAGGCAGTTTTTTCAAGTTGTTTTCGCTGCCGCAAAAAAAATATACAAAAGACATCCAATGTTAGAGGCGGATTGTAAACTGTTTCCAAGATTGATTCAAGATTAAATTGCTTTGATTCAGTGGAAATAATTCATTCAGCGGATGTACTTTTTGATTAAATGAGAGTTGATTTCATTTCATTAATTATCTTTGTAAATATTTTTCATTGTACATTGTATTTATATATTTATTTTATTTATTGATTCCATATTTTTTTTAATTTTTTTTTGCTACTGGGAATGGTCGTTACCACTGCCCCATTGGAGCCTCTATGGAAAAAAATTGCATTGATATATACAAGGTGCGAAAGAAAACTCAACCGATATATAACAGTCGAGTTTTTTTTCCTATATGAATCAATGAAAAAACTGTAATGTTTTATATATCGATGCTCTTTGAAATGTACTGAGTATAATGGGTTAGTAAGAACAAAGGAAAAGTTCCAACCATGCGATAATTTTTGGTTTCCTTCTTTTGTTTCTTTGTTCGCTTTTCACATAATTATCAATAACAGCTATTCTATTGTATCGAACAAAGAAATCAGCTCCGTTAAACAAATGAACGTGACACGTTCTGTTATCTGATAACATGTATTCATGTATATGTACTACGTAACTTAAGACGAATCAATACTACGCATATACAGAAAAGTTTATCATACAGGTTTATTTTATGTGTCCCTGATATGTCTTTAAATTAAATAGATAAAGTTCCTGCGTAAAATAAAAATTATTTTATTCACAATTGTTAGATAATATGCTTGTCATTATTTTTTGCAATTATATAAAGCAGGTCATACCTCAACACATCATTAAATGAACAAATATGGCTAATTAATATGTTAATAAACAAAAATATACTGAATCACTATTGAATCTCGCAAAATATCAGTTATGCTTTCAAGAATGTATACAAATGATTTAGACAATACATAATTACCTTATAACGTTTCATTCGTTTAGAAACTAACATCATACATTCCCTGATTCAAATCTTAACAATAGCCTATATTTGCACACCGTACAATCAAATGGGTAGACAACCGTTCAACTCGTCGATAGCCTCACTAGTGTGTATTTCAGGTCAGACACTCACATTGATATTTCCATAGACTTACATTATAAGAAATGGTCCCTAATCCTACCTTAAAATTGAGTTTTCATGCTAAAGAGGTAATTTTTCTAGCAGAATGAAATGCCTGACACATACAAATGTTCCTGTTATATAGGGGTAGCCAACCAAATTTTTTGCAAAATGACTTCAAAGAGGATTACCCCCCATTTCATTGAAATTTTCTGCTGATCACAGGACTGACATACACTTTTTATAAATGCAAATATCCAAGTCAAAATTATCACAGAGACTCATGAAATATTTCATTTTCTTCAGAAAACAATGTAGTGTTACTTTTTAAATTAGTTTTTATACTTAAAAATACCCCACATTCATCCAATCACCTCATGTATAAATTGACTCATACGGTTTTCCCTGCACTTTTTTTCAGCCAATCGCTGGCCGTGTTACAATGCGTTACCCTGACCTAAAGGGAATATTAAATGTTTAGTATTCTAATATCTAATAATAAATGAAGTTGCATATACAATTACCAATTATATGGATGCATTTTCACCACTCTTAAGTCATTTAAAACTTTGAAGTTCCCTTTTTTCTAACAAGCGCCACTATGTCGCATTCCGGATATTCTGAAAATGAATGTTAGCATGTGATTTTCATAAATAATTCATTATTCTGAAGTCAATTTTGTAACAACTTCCATAAAATCACTCAGATAGCAAAACTACACTGTTTTCATTACAGAAGTGCTTCAAAATACTAATTTTCTAACAAAAGGATGTAGCAGGGGGCAATTTTATCACCCCACCCATAACAAAATAAGTGATTTTTCACCCAAATTTCAACATTTTATTACCAATAGACTTCCTGAATGAAGATTTAGCTTAGCAAACATACTTAATAACTACTGTATAGTGACCTGATTATGGATTACACATTATTTGTACACACATAGCAACATTTTGGGTGTAACTAGGTATTTTAAAACTGCCCCTGCTGTATTTTTCTACTCCAAATATTTGCTTATATAGTCTTAAATACAAGCCAAAATGTCAATAAAATGCCAAAATTCTTTATATATATTTTGTCTCTCTCTCACATGGATATTAAAAATGCAATATATGGAAAAACCAAGTTCCACTGGACTTAACAGCACAGTAATAGCCTAAAATCTGACTTCTACACCCATTTTTTTGGCCATTTTTGCATTCATTTGGAGCCAAATATGACAATTGAAACCTTCTTTCAGGTGTTTTACCATGTAAATCACCTCTTCAGACCAAAATGTACTTGGAATGGATAGTATTGTGTATTTTCTTCTCATTTAGGTAGCCAGAAACTAGAATTTATGCACTTATCTAAGTTTCTCAATAAATAAAGGGAGGTAATTCACTGAAGTTGTGCATAATCACACCCTTTGTGTACATTTATCTACCAGAATTAGTGCTTTTTCTGTTTATAGACACATCAGAGACACTAAAGCTGTGTTATAATTGTGCCTAATATGATTGTGAAAAAGTAGATCAACTTTTACTTATCAATAAAACTTTTTCTACAAAATAATTCTACCCTTGGCCATTATGATGCTCATTCAATTATGCATTAAATAGTCATAAAGTCTAAAAACTATGGCATTATACATTGTGAGTGTGTTAATATATATAACCAAATAGAAAACAATAAATTCTAATCACTATTTTGCATCTTAACCACATAATAAGAGGCTATTCAGAGGCTACCTAACTTTAATTATGCTACATTTTTCAATGGATTTCAATTTCTAAGTATGTATTGATATTCATGCCCTGAAACCAAGTAAATTTTAAGACAGAATTTTAAAATGCTATTTATTTGAAGCTTTTATGCTATCTATGCCTGTAAATGAAACACAAAACATTCTTATATGGGAAACAGACATAAAAGCAATTTATTTGTGACATTCTATGTTATTATATGAGCAAAATGGAAAAATATTAGTGCCGAGCGAAGAAATGTCCGCCCCTAAAATAAGTCGAAAAGTTAACCGAAACAGCACCCTAGACTATTTCTAGTATTAATCTATTAGTTTTGAACCTGACAATATGCATTTGTATTGATATACCTGCAACACCCATCAAAAGTGGCCAATGTGCTTACATCAGGTCCTGTCAAGTTATACATAAGTCTTCAAACCTGGCATGTGTATATCCAATGTACAGCATTTCTTTGAAATCTGAAAAATATTTTTAATGACCAAGGTCAACATTATTATCATCAACATATCACCAATTAATTATCACTCAAATTCACTGTTTAAAGAAAACACAAACCATTATTAACTTTTAAGTAACAATAATACTCTTCTTCATATGTAAACAATGCTTGTAGATTGACCCCCTTGACACATTATCTGCTGTAAACACCAACAGTTGCATTGAAATAATGAAATTTTATACCTAGACAGGCTGTATACATCCATTCTTCCAAAATATCAGCTTTTCGTGGCGTATCAATGAAGACAAAGTACAACAAATGAATTATGGCAGTTCCAATTTCCCTCTCTTTAGGTCAGACACTCACATTGATATTTCCATAGACTTACATTATAAGAAATGGTCCCTGATCCTACCTTAAAATTGAGTTTTCATGCTAAAGAGGTAATTTTTCTAGCAGAATGAAATGCCTGACACATAAAAATGTTCCTGTTATATAGGGGTAGCCAACCAAATTTTTTGCAAAATGACTTCAAAGAGGATTACCCCCCATTTCAATGAAATTTTCTGCTGATCACAGGACTGACATACACTTTTTATAAATGCAAATATCCAAGTCAAAATTATCACAGAGACTCATGAAATATTTCATTTTCTTCAGAAAACAATGTAGTGTTACTTTTTAAATTAGTTTTTATACTTAAAAATACCCCACATTCATCCAATCACCTCATGTATAAATTGACTCATACGGTTTTCCCTGCACTTTTTTTCAGCCAATCGCTGGCCGTGTTACAATGCGTTACCCTGACCTAAATTCAGTAATCATTTTATTTGAAGTAATTACCGTTTAAATGCCCTCTTGGCTTATTTCCCTTACTCTATATGTTAAACTTATTTTATCTATCTATCAGTAAATGCGCATGTGTCAAAATCGTCAACTTCCTATTTTTTTGGCTCTTACAAATGAAATTATTTCTTCATCTAAACGTCTGGAAAATAGGAATTTAATTTGTTAAAAAGGTTTATTAAAGGTCACTCTATCATTTTCCTTTTAGCAGTTGACTAGTGCTATTGTTTTCAGGTCAGAAAACAAACCTCTTTTCACACTGCCGCCACTAAACCGGAAGTGGATATCCCAAAATTGCAGTGTGATTTATCTCCCCTTATTAGCTCTCAACCAATTTGTTGTTTACATTTTTATATCGTGGATTCCGGTAAGTTTAATGTTTTCCAATATGTTTAAGGTTTTATTACTATTTGTTGTAGCTGTGTTATTCAGGTATTCTAACAAGGATGATGATTTCATCCGGTTTTATCCAACTATAGTAAAAATTGAACTCTCAATTTGTCAACAGGTAATTCAACTCGCAAAAAAAAATCAGCAGAACCACAAACAAAAAATAAATAGGTAAATGTATCTGACCAACAATTGTGATCCTTAGTCGTGTCCTTATCGCCCATTCACATGACATCGAGAGTAATCCTGGCCCTGTTCAAACAGATATATATCTGGAAGGAAATTCCACAGTTTCTTTTTAATGGGAGGGTTTTTTTGTCCGCCCTGTCATTTTCACGGGAGGGCTTTTGTCAGCCTTGTCATTTTTTGACAGGAGGGCTTTTGTCTTCCTTGTCATTTTTTGACGGGAGGGCTTTTGTCCAGAAGGGCTTTTGTCCGTTTCCCGTGACCGGCTGTTATTTGCCGGCTAGTCTACAATATCATGACATAGTTAATCACTTAAAATTATGAAAATCGTAACTTAAGTTACTTTTATTTATACCAATCTCATCAATGTTTATTAATTTTGTGAAGTGACAATTAGTTTACGTTACGTGCATTGTCATATGTTACGAGGAACCGGATAAAATGTGTGTTATTTCACCACCCATCTTAACTTCTCAAGAGTTTGAAAAACTGTCTAAATACGTGTATATTAATGTGACTTAAAAAAATCTGTTTCATCACAGTCAAATCGGATAAAGAATAATTAAAGTTTGGTAAATTTGAAAACTAAAATTGCATTATCACGTGTTCCGACTTATTTTCAGAATGATAATAAACCTCGATTTTATATGTTATAAAATTTCTCTAGCTTTAATATTGACGATTTCAACAACAATTAAATTAATGCGCGTGAAAATACAACTTCCGGTCCAATTTTCATAGAAACGGACCGCGTCGTAAAAAGGTCTATAAATTGTAGGTCAATTGTATAAAAAAAACCACTTTACTTCAGTAATCTTGTTAACTCCACCAAACCTGATATAGTTATAGGTACTGAGTCTTTGCTTAAACCCAAGCAGTATGCAGGTGAGGTGTTTGAAGAGCAGCCCGATGGATTAAGCTAGATTATGGTTAGACCCCCCGTCACGGACATGCTTCACTCCCTTTACCTTCGAAAACTGGAACTCAGACGTATAGATGCTAGTTTATTCCTTTTCTATAAGATTCACCATAGTATGGTTGCAATCCCCATAGAAGAATATTTGACACCCCTGTCCTGAATATCACACCATGGTCATCCCTTATGTTATAGGTTATTCACAGCAACTTCAGACTATTATAAATTTTCATTCATTCCTAGGACGGTATGCCACTGGAACCACCTACACCCTGGAATTACCCTACTCCCTACCCCAGAGCAGTTCAATGCAGCCATAGCTTGCATCGAACATGTCTCACCCTAGTTTTCCAGCCCCTGTTTTAAACATTTTTGAATATGTTTTATTCTCTTTTAAACATCTCTTTTTAACTTTCTTGCGATTTTTGACGCGCAGACATGTCTACGTTCCCGGTGGAGTTTGACATTAACAAATACAAAAACTTTATAGTTTTGACAATATTTAAATCTCAATGATTTTTTAACAAAGGAGCTAGATAAAATTCATTAATAAATACTTTGAAATTCTGTTTCAATAAATAATCATTTTTATTAGATTTCTGATTTTAAATATATAATCTCATTAACCAAATGATACATAAAATTGATTATCATCATTGTTATAAATCTCTTAGTGTTAATGTAACCTGTGTATCGTTTTCTGTTTATCACTGGTATATTGTATCCCCCGTGTTATGTTGTATTTGGTTGGTATTCGCCTAACTGTTGTGTCGTCGTTTGTTTGCCTAACTGTGGTAATGTTTTGTATAGTCTGTTTCGTATGAGAGGTCACTGTAAGTTGAAAGGTTGTATGAATGTGTTCACTAATATTTCACGTGCATGACCCTAAAATCCCCGCGAAACATTTTCTTGCTTAAGTAAAATATTTCCCTTCGCCAGTTCCACATTATACGAGTAACTGATAACTTACTTTACAGTATAGTTGTTGATAAAAGTAGTTACTTATTAGTTAACTTGAACATCATTTATGGAAAGTTCTTGTATGCTGATCCTGGTAAGAATCTACATATTTCTAATGTCATATTTATTCTTTTCCATTGATGAATTGGATGAAATGTGTAATTTTATTATTTTGTAAATCAATTATTTGTAATTCCTTTGTAATTCCTTTGTATTTTGTTTATAGGCTCGTTTTTGTATGTCCGACAATAAAATGATGAAATAGAAGCAACTCTTCAATCATTTATCATGATGCAACCGGATATGCCCCTCACTTTCTGATGTTTGGTTGGCACCCACGGCTTCCTGTAGATGCTTATCTAGGCTCAGATCCTTCAGAAGAGCACACAGGGAATCAGTCCTCTTATGCATCAAAACTCCATCGGAGATTGCAGATAGCATACCGCAGGGCTGCAGAAGAAGCTGGTAGGATGGCTGCCAAAAACAAGACCATATATGATCAGAAAGTGAGGCATACTCGACTTGATGTTGGAGATAAGGTACTGATTCGGAAAGTTGGAGTGAAAGGGACTAACAAGTTGTCAGATCGTTGGGATGAGGAAATTTATATAGTCCTTTCTATACCCAATCCTGACATTCCCGTGTATAGAGTTCAGCAAGAAAACAAGAAGGGCCCAATTAAGACTCTACACCGGAATATGTTTCTTCCCTATCCTTTTACTCAACTTGTGGAACAGGAGAGTATCAAACCTAGACCAGAAAGCAGCTCTCGCAAGAGAACTCCTAATAAGTTCAGGTCGACAGCCGATACCCTGTCCACTGAAATCGAGGATACCACTGATTCCGATTCAGATAATACCGAAACATTATACCAACCTCCACCACTAAGACCCCAGAAATGTCCTAAAGAACAGTCCAGTAGGTCTAAACATACTGTGTCTGTGACCCCAGAACCTTCAAAGGCTCTGGAATCATTTCAGAGTGACCCCTCTGCAGAGACCATTACTTTATCTGACCATTTTTCAAGAATTGATGGTTTATCACCGCAATCAGCGACTGCGACTAATTTGGTAAGTGATCAGGAAGTTGGCTCCACCCCAGTACCTGACCCTGAACCTCCACCTCCAAGTCCTCGTCCTGTAAGTCGCAGAGTCCCACCGCAGAGATACGGTGAATGGGTTACCCCTATTGTAACAAATCCTAGCCAAGATTTGGAAGTATTTGTATGATTATCATATATTATTATATAATGTAACATTTTGAATTTACTTAATTTCTTCAAAGAAATTAAGGTCAGTTAACCTGATTTATCAATGTTTCTATTTTAGAAATAACTAGTAACTATGTCTGAACAAATCATATATGGTTTCATGTGTTCATACAGTTTGTCTCCACATCTGCCTCATGTGAACAAGTTGTTGTTTGTATGTGGAGAAGTTGATCTTGAAGTATTAGAGAGGATGACGGATTTATTATTGCATATTAGTACAAGTGTACTGTGATGCAACTTTGTCTATCTATTGTAAATATTTGTAAATAGATGTATTTGAATACAGAGCTGAATCATATATATGAACTTATTTCAATTAAAGAAATTAATTTATTAATTTCACATTACAATTTAAAATTCATTATAAAGATATCAATAGATTTATATTTGTCATTTCATAAAGACAAGAAATAGACATAATTGTTGTGTATTATTATACACATATGATTTATTGAAGATGATTATGTCCTGATGTTTTTATTTGAAACTAAAATATAATTGGGTTATGGAAATGTCAGGAGCCATTTCCTTAAAGGGAGGGCATGTGTAACCTGTGTATCGTTTTCTGTTTATCACTGGTATATTGTATCCTCCGTGTTATGTTGTATTTGGTTGGTATTCGCCTAACTGTTGTGTCGTCGATTGTTTGCCTAACTGTGGTAATGTTTTGTATAGTCTGTTTCGTATGAGAGGTCACTGTAAGTTGAAAGGTTGTATGAATGTGTTCACTAATATTTCACGTGCATGACCCTAAAATCCCCGTGAAACGTTTTCTTGCTTAAGTAAAATATTTCCCTTCGCCAGTTCCACATTATACGAGTAACTGATAACTTACTTTACAGTATAGTTGTTGATAAAAGTAGTTACTTATTAGTTAACTTGAACATCATTTATGGAAAGTTCTTGTATGCTGATCATGGTAAGAATTTACATATTTCTAATGTCATATTTATTCTTTTCCATTGATGAATTGGATGAAATGTGTAATTTTATTATTTTGTAAATCAATTATTTGTAATTCCTTTGTAATTCCTT